TCTACTTTTAAAATATTTCTGGAATTCAAGTCCTCAATATCTCTGCCACTAAGCCCTAGTTCAAGCCACCATCATCACTCAGCTAGGATTACTATAATGAGTCCCCAAATGAGCTTGTCCATTTTGCTCTTGCCCCCTTATTCTAAATAAGTAGCCAGACTACTTCAAGTTTCTAATTATAACTCCATTCCAAACTCTCCATTGGCTCTGCATCTCACTCAGATCAAAATTTAAAGCCATGGCAAGAGCCTGCAAGTTCCTATACCATCCAGTTGTGGCCCTCCCCACTTCCTGTGTCCATATCACCTATGCTGTCTCCTCTCAGCACTCTGTAGCAGCTACATTGCTCTCCTGCTGCTACCTGAATGCACCAAGTAGCTTCTGTTTCAGAATTTTTGCATTGTACAGTTGTCCCTCCATAGACTGTTCCTTTTTCAAATGCTCTCATGGCTCACTTACATCTTCACTCATTTATTTTCTTTAGGTCTCTGCTAAACTATCATCTTCTCAGAAGGGTCTTCCTTTGCCACCCAATGCAAAACAGTACCCTCTCCCCAACATTCTCTGTTGCCCTTTCAAGGCCTTCTTTTTCTCCACTGCCACCATCAGATGTACCACATGCTTGTTTAATTTGTGCAATCTCCATTAAAAATGCAAGCTCCAAAACAGCCATGACCAGGCATACTTTATTTTTTTAGAAATTTACACTCAGTGCCTTGAATAGTACCCAGCACACTGTAGGACTCAATAAATATTTGTTGCACAAATGAATAAATAATAGAAAATATAGAAAATCTGATAGTGGGCTAAGGATGAATGAGTGGATCTAGATTGCAGGCTATGCAATCACAGAAGCCATGGACCTTGGATGGAGGAGTAGGGAAAAGCAGAGACTGTAGAAGAAATTTTAAAATTTCTCATATATGGTAGAATGAATGCCAGGAATGAAGGTGAAAAACTGTAAGGTGACTTGACTATTATTAGATAGGGGAATGAAAATGTGTCACCAAGAGAAAGTCTGGTACTAGTACTATGAACCCCTTTGGAGGAGAACAGATATTCAGTTTTTGCTTCATTCCATTTAGCATAAGTGCAAAATTTCCAGTAGGATGGCTTATCTCAGGGGAAAGGGCAGAGACTGGCCTGTCGGTCTTTGCAGGACTCTTGCAGAATTCTGAAGATTCAGGCTTTTGGGGTGAGCCTGGTATACAGCTTAGTTTAGGAAGTCATCAGTCATAATGTCCTGCTTGAAGGCAGCAGGTTTGGCACTTGGCATGCTGGAAGAGAAGAGCAGCCATGGGAAGAGGTAGGGTGGAGCTAAGTGGGAGGATAGAGACAATTAATCCAGCAAAGAAAGAGCAAGGTCATGCATTTAGCTTTGTTTATCCAAGCTGCTGAGACTATTTGAGGTTTATTGGGATTTTTGAAGACAGGAAAATACCATTTTATATTCCATGTTATATAAATTACTGTTTCATGTGTTGGGTAGAAGAAGCAATCTGTAGCTTTAAGTTCACCGATGACTGGGCTGTGGCACCTACCCTAGCTGCTCCGGAATGTGTTACCTCGTAAATCTTGTTTAACCACTTAATAGTATCACATTCTCCAGTTTAGATTTCACTTAGACAATTTCATCAGTTAAACATTGGCAGAGTCCTGTTTTCCCACTACTCAGTGAAGGAGATTAGTAGCCTCTTCCAGAGGGCTCATAGTGTAAGTAGAAAGCCTTCTATACATTCCTGAATGAGGCCAACATGGCCCTGTTATAGAGGCTGATGTGACTGAAGGGAAGGAGCTGACTCCTTAGACCAGAGAAGGTCTTCAGATGTCAAGGCAGGACAAATCACTGGAGCAGAGCTCTATCATGAACCTGCATGAAAAAAAATGACATTCCCAGGGAACCTGAACCCTTGACAGGTCATTGGCTGACTCTTGCTAGTATATATATCAGTATATTTTTGAAAGCCTAATATATATCTAAAGCTGAGCATCTCTGAAGCATCATCTAAGAAGACCAACTGACAGTCTAATTTAAAATATACACCCACCCATCTTTCCTCCGGCACATGTAATAGGAAAGTCAAAAACAATCATTTAGGAAAAACAGTACATGGCTACTTTTCACTTCTGGGCAGTGAAAGATATCTTAACTCGTCCCCTATAGCATCTGTACCCATGCATGGAGAGAAAAGCATCTTCCTTGTCATCTGATTTTCCTTGCAGAGAGTCTTACTTTTCAGCCATCTTTCTGTGGAAGGTGTTTTCTTTTCCTTTGATAGTATGAATACATTTCTAGTGGGCATGTACATTTAGTCAAATCCTGGCCCAGTAATTTTTTTTACATTTATTTTTATTATAATTTGTTACATATGACAGCAGAATGCATTATAATTCATATTGCACATATAGAGCACACTTTTTCACATCTCTAGTTGTATACAAAGTATATTCACATTTCATACATGTACTTTGGGTAATGATATCCATCTCATTCCACCATCTTTTTTAAATGCTACTTTTTCCCCCTCGGGGAGATTGGGTGACTTTTATTTATTTTTTCCCCAATTTTTTAAATTGGTGCATTATATATGATGGTGGGTTTTGTTGTTACATGTTAGTACATGCACACAATAAAACAAACAAACAAAATACCCAATTTGGCCAATATCACTCCCAGCACTTCCCCCTCCCTCCCCTCTTCCCAACCCTGGTCACTTTCCTTTGAGTTTGATTTTTGCAACTTGAGATGGAAAATGAAATAGCATAGTGCTTTAGGGTATGGCTTCCTCCATTCATCATGGACACACTAGTATCATCATGGACTAAACCTAAGTAATCCCTTACTGTCCAGCTTTTTCCTCCTGTGACCTGCCTGGGAGGTGAAGTTGTACTGAGGCAGGAAAGCCTTCTGAGTTGTTCCTGGAACCATGCCCCTCTGAAGCCTGCTGTCTTCTGGACTATTGGAATGAACTAGACACCATGTTGCCTAGCTCCAGGTCTCATCCTTAGTCTTCTGGAATTTTCCTTTTTCATGCTAGTTACTTTCAAAGGCATTTTCCTCACCCCCTACCCTTCCACTGCACTAACATCAACTCTTAAACTAGAAGAAATACAGGAAAGACATACAAATACAGGAAGAGCCACTGCCCTCCAACAACCCAGCAGCAATCCCTGAGACAAGGAAGTGCAAAGCCTGACAAACTGCTTGGCAGAGTGAGAGAAAGGAAAACACAGGGAGAATCACTAAATTGTTCTCCCAATAAATTACCCTACCCAGAACAAAGTTCCACCTCTAAATGCTATTCAACCTCACACAGACCATATCTCTACTTCCCTGTTTATAACATGCATATCTGTGGGATTGATATAGGAAATCAATATTATAGTTCCTCCAAAAGAATAAGAACCTAGTAATTAAGTTATTCATGCTTCCAACAAAAGTTATGGAGTGTTTATTATATGACAAGAACCAACAATAAGGCAGTATATTTTAGTGGGGTTGACAGTCTAAAGAGGCCTAAATAAAAAGAAGGAAGCAGCCAGTCATGTGGAGTCAGGAGGAAGAGCATCTCCCAGCAGAGGGGAGAGGGAGGAAATGAGCTCTGCCCCTCAGGCCACATGTAGAGGAAGGACCTGTGTGGCTGGAGCTGTGGGTAAAGGTGAGAATGGGGAGGGAACAGAAATCAGTTTACCTGAAGCTTGTGGGAGAGGGATAGTAATTTGAATTTCACATTAAGCACAATAGGAAGAGTTTTGTGTTCTGATGTGCATTTTAAAAGAGCACACTGTCTTTTCTATGTAGAGAACTGTAAGAATGGAAGTGGATTGGAGTCAAACACAATCATTTAGGAAAAACAGTACATGGCTACTTTTCACTTCTGGGCAGTGAAAGATATCTTAACTGGTCCCCTATAGCATCTGTGCCCATGCATGGAGAGAAAGCATCTTCCTTGTCATCTGTGTGAACTGGTCTTGGTGACCTTTTCTAAACATCCCATTCTATTTAATCTTTATGTCCTATCTAAGTCTGGTACTTTTATGGGTCAAAGTCACAGAATAATAGGAATCTAGAGGTGGTGAGTAGCCATATGGTACATTCTTTGCCTGGCTATCCTTAGACCCTTTGAGTTCAGATGAATGCATATTTTTAAAAAATTAAGTTTTATCGAGATAAAATGTATATGCCCCAAATTCACCTAAAGTGTAGAAGTCAATAGTTTTCAGTATATTAACAGATGTGTACAACCATCATCATCATCTAAAAGTTGTTTCATTACCTCCAAAGATGCCTTATACCCATTACCTATTCCTCTCCACTCCTTTTACCCCTCGATGTAGTCAACCACTCACCTGCTTTGGTTTTACAAATGGATTTATTCTGTACCCTTTCTACAAACAGATTTCTAAAATATGTGTTCTTTTGCGATTGGACTCTCACTTTGCATAAAGTCTTAAGGTTTATCCTTGCTGTAACATGTATCAATGCTTTATTTCTTGTTGAATGACATTCTGTCATGTGAATATGCTACATTGTATTTATCCTTTCATCAGCTGAAGGGCATTTCAGCATTTCTACTTTTTGCTTTTATGAATAATGCTACTATAAACATGCATGTACAAGTTTTTGTAGGCATATGTTTTTACTTCTCTTAGATACCTACCTCTGAAGGGGTTTGTTGAATCTTACGGTTAATTCTCTGCTTAATCATTTGAAGAATTGCCAGACTGTTTTCCAAAGGATTGTGTGTATTTTAAAATACTCTCTGCACAGTGTAAAAAATTTTGCTCTACAAAAAAGTGTGCTCCCAAACTACTCATTTCTTAAGTTAACTCCTTGACCAGGAAGTTTTCCTTCACAACAAATAAAAAAAAATATTTTTTGTACTTGAAAGTAATGTTAAAAGCATTATAACTTAGTGTCCTCAAAGAAAGCAGTAGTGAATGTTTGAGCTTAGTTTCTTCCCTTTAAGTAGTTTCTTATTTCTCCTACTCCTTTATAGACTCCTTATATTAAAAATATAGAAATCAAACAAGATCCAGAACTTTAAAAAGCATCTAAACAACAACAAAAGAAGAAGAAGAGGAAGAAGAAGAAGAAGAAGAAGAGAGAAAGAAAAAAAGAAAGAAAGAGAAAGAGAAAAGGTAGGGAGAGGGAATTTCATCAATATAGAGGAAAGATTAGTAGAGCAGATGAAAGGGATTGAGAATGAAGAAGGGATCGGAAAAGGGAAAAACATTGGATCTAACCGAACTTTCCTATGCGCATGCATGGATGTGCCATGGTGGGTCCTGGCATAGGGTGTATCCACAGGACAATAATTTTTTATATAATATTTTTTCATAACTTTATTTTATTTATTTATTTTTGTGTGGTGCTGAGGATTGATCCCTGCACCTCACATGTGCTAGGTGAGCACTCTACCGCTGAGCCACAACCCCAGCCCAGGATAAAGATTTTAAAAAAGAAAAGTCAACTGTAAATGGATTGAAGAGGGTTCACTAGAGTGGATGGAGGGGCATGGGGTGTTGGGGGAGTGCAGGGGACTGAATTAGATAGAGCTGGTTGTGTTTCGAGCTTTTGGGATTATGTCAAAGTGTATCCTGGTGTTGTATGTAACTAAAAAGAATTTTCAAAAAAGGATCTGAACAATTCCAGAAATTACAAAAAGTTTGCTTTCACAGCAACAGATTTCTTGTATTTGTAGTGAGTTTGACTCACAGGCTTTTTCCACTCTACTTGTGTGTGTGATTGGGTTAATCTCTGTCCTTCAACTGTGGTTTTCCACATTTACATGCTATTGTCCTACATGCCAATAGTTGAATCTGGTGCTCATTTGTCACCTGAAGTTGAGGCTTTTTTTTCATGTCCATATTTACCTACTGATGAGGCTCATCAATTTTTCTATTTGGGCTCTTATAGCACCAGCACATCTTTTAGAGGACAGAAGGAACCCTTCCTTTGGAGTGAAGCTGAATCCTCCTTCTTCCCCTGTTCAATATGATCATTCTGCTTGAATCACAGCTTTTTGTGAACCAATGCTTTCTATTTGTTTATTCACTCTTTGTTCAAAAAATAGTGAGCATCAGGCATTGCTCTAAACTCTGGGGGCATTGTAGTAAACAAAAACAGAGCAAGGGGCTGGGGTTGTGGCTCAGTAGTAGAGCACTTGTCTAGCACTTGTGAGGCACTGGGTTTGATTATCAGCACCAAATAAAAAATAAATAAATAAAATAAAGTTACTGTGTCCATCTACAACTAAAAAATAATTTTAAAAAAAGAAAAACAGATCAAGACTCTGTCCTTGTGGTTTGTATACCAAAGATGATGCAATTTTAGCATAAGAAAGCTTGAGTTTTGGGATCAAATATTTTGAAAGGGAGCTTTTATTTTCTGATATACTCCCTCTCATTTTTTTTAAACATGAAGTTGTAGAACAATGGGACTATTTGACTTGTTCATAAGCATAAAGCAGTTTCTGGCAGATCTAACTGGATCCTAGATTTCAGACTTCCTGTGTTCTTTTCACTATACTGTGCAAGTAAAAAAGGTTTGTGAAGCCCCTTGAACAGACATGCCACAAGCTCATGGAGCACTTGTTATTTACAGTATTATTTATGGGATATTACTATAGATCTTGGAATAAAAGAGCATGAGGAACACGGAAAAGATAGAAAAGCAAGAAAGTGGCATTTAAAATGTCCTGGTTAAAGTAGACACTCTTGCATGAGTGACCTTCTATGAAGGCAGATATCCAAATTACAGTAAACTGTGAGCAAATGTACATGATTTAGTGAGATCTCTCTCTCTCTCTCTCTCTCTCTCTCTCTCTCTCTCTCTCTCTCTCTCTCTTCTTGAAGGAACTGTGAAAACTGCTTTCAGTGGGAAAGTCACATAGTAAATTCTCCTGCTTTAAATTTCAAAGTTCAGCCTTTGTCATTTTATGTTCCCAACAACTTCCTGCTTCTCCCTTCTCTCAACATTCAAGATTAACAGCAATTTTCCATTTTAAAAATGATGTAAACGTTTGACCCTCAAGGATTATAGGGAGGCTGGGCTCACAAACATTGTGTGTACACCTGGGCCTTTAAAAGGTAGCGTAGAGTTCTTCTTGAGGACTTCCTTTAGACTGGGCAAGGGTCTGGGTTTTTTCCATGGGAGAGGAAGATAATTACAAAGTTACATTTTTAAAAAACCCATGCTTAGCATCAATCTTTTGAAGCTTCTAGATCTGCAGCCTGGAAAAATGTCACTCTTTAATGTCTGTACATAGCCCTGATTCTGGGTACTACAAGTCTTCTTCCATTCCCAAGGCAAGAAACTGCCACTGTTGACCTCATGCTGTTGGACCTCAGCCTCTGTCATCACGTCCTTTCCCTGCTCAACCTCAGAGGAAGCTGTGAGGAATTGAAGGAGGCAGAGAAGATTAGTTAAAGGTGGAAATTTGTAGCAAGCAAATGCAAGGTCTATCCTCTAAGATAGAAGTTGAAGTGGAAGCACTGTGTGGCTTAAAAGTAAAATATTTACAAATAACAAGTAAATTTGAAAATTTAGAAAATGTTTTAAAAGAAATATAGCAGAATCTTAAGGAAATTTCCACTCTGGAGTACTCCCTTCTCCAGTAAACACCCTTCTTCACATGCTCACGCACACACACATGCACACACGCACACACCCTTCAAACTCCCAACAAGTACATCTGGTTATACAGACATTAAGGGATTCAATCATTTTCCAAGTGAGGCAAAGGAGGATCTGGTCCTTTGTCTCTAGAATTCATGATTCATAAGATGTCAAACCATGTCACACACTGTAAATGGGAGCAATCATGTCTCCTGACAGAAACCCCTCTCTGTCTGCACTTGTTTGTTTGGAGATGATGCTTGTTTTACCCATCAATCCTGGGACTCAAAACCACCTGGTTCTCAGCTGTCACCTTGCCACATATTGTTTTTAGCTAAGTCTTCACACCACCTTCCAGCTATCTTGCTGTAGTCAATGAGGTAAAGTGAAATTTTTTCAATTTTATCTATATTTATTGAATACATAATGAGTGGTGAATGTGTATGTGCATGTGTGCACGCATAAGTGCTGCAGAGTAACAAGTTAAAAGAAATTAAAATAAGGACTTTATCTATGACTTCAAGAGACTCATAGTCTTGGCTTTTTGAAAATGAACAAAAGGGTGAACATTGTTAACCATGCTGAGAGTTGAGAAAACAGATACATTCATGAAGGCTGGAGCAGTCAGAGCTGGCTTCGTGGAAGTGGCGACCCTCAGGCTCAGCCTTGTATATAGGAAGGGCAGGCAACCTGAGAGCAAAAAACCTGTAATGTCATGCACATACAAGTGACTTGAACACTTCACAAATGAGGAGGCTGGAGAATATGATCCTCAAGAGCCAAAGCAGCAAGAACTTTAGGAAACAGCTGAACAGAATAAACATTCACTGTTTAAAATTCCTCCCAAACTAACTGAACAATAGTGAAGCAAGGTGATAGAATGAGAATATTGCCTAAGATGGCAGAAAACCATTTTGTAGATAGAATTAATTTATACTAGTACAAGAAATAAAAAGCACCATTATTGAATAGAAATTTAAAGGAGTTATTATAATATAAAGTAGGAGGGTATATAAATCAGACTACTAATTTGCAAATACAGAATCTATTTTCTGGTTTGAGCAGAAAAAGGAATGTATTAAGGGATATGAACAACCTCCCAAGAATGGGGAAGGAAAAAATAGAGTCAAATTGTAAAGCTACAGAGCCACAAACAATGCTGAATCGTATTTCTCTCACTAAAAGTTCCTGCCACCGCTGGTCAGCCTGTGCCCATCAGTGCTATCCTTGAAGTAAAGGTCTAGGTCAGAGATCAGCAAACCTGTAGGCTGGACTCTTGTTTTTGAAAATAAAGTTTCATTGGAATGCAACCAATTAGTTTACAGTGTCTTATTGCTTTTGTGCTGGAACAGCAAGAGTTGAACAGTTGAAACAGAAACCATATGGCTCATAAAGTTGAAATATTTTTACCCCCCATCCCCCGCCCCTGCCAGGTGACCACCGACAGAAAAGGCCCAGTGGCCCGCGGTGGGACAGAGCTTCCAATCACTCCTGCAAGGTAGGCGGACCTGCGACCCACCAGCAGAGGAGGAGCAGCGACCTGCTGAGAGGCAGAGCCGCCCCCTCCCCCTGCACCGGCAAGGTAGAGGGAACTGTGACCATGCACAGAGCAGGCCCAGAGGCCTGCTGAGGGGCAGAGCCGCCCCCCACCCCTCGCGCCTGCCAGGTAGGGGAACTGTGACCACGGACAGAAAAGGCCCAGTGGCCCGCGGCGGGGCAGAGCTTCCAATCACTCCTGCAAGGTAGGCGGGCCTGCGACCCACCTGCAGAATAGGAGCAGCGACCTGCTGAGAGGCAGAGCCGCCCCCTCCCCCTGCACCGGCAAGGTAGAGGGAACTGTGACCACGCACAGAGCAGGCCCAGCGGCCTGCTGAGGGGCAGAGCCACCCCCCACCCCCCGCCCCTGCCAGGTGACCACCGACAGAAAAGGCCCAGTGGCCCGCGGTGGGACAGAGCTTCCAATCACTCCTGCAAGGTAGGCGGGCCTGCGACCCACCGGCAGAAGAGGAGCAGCGACCTGCTGAGTGGCAGAGTCGCCCCCTCCCCCTGCGCCGGCAAAGTAGAGGGAACTGTGACCACGCACAGAGCAGGCCCAGTGGCCTGCTGAGGGGCAGAGCCGCCCCCCACCCCTCGCGCCTGCCAGGTAGGGGAACTGTGACCATGGACAGAGCAGGCCCAGCGGCCTGCTGAGGGGCAGAGCCACCCCCCACCCCCCGCGCCTGCCAGGTGACCACCGACAGAAAAGGCCCAGTGGCCCGCGGTGGGACAGAGCTTCCAATCACTCCTGCAAGGTAGGCGGGCCTGCGACCCACCGGCAGAAGAGGAGCAGCGACCTGCTGAGAGGCAGAGCCGCCCCCTCCCCCTGCACCTGCAAGGTAGAAGGAACTGTGACCACGCACAGAGCAGGCCCAGCGGCCTGCTGAGGGGCAGAGCCACCCACCACCCCCCGCCCCTGCCAGGTGACCACCGACAGAAAAGGCCCAGTGGCCCGCGGCGGGACAGAGCTTCCAATCACTCCTGC